TCAGCATGGATTTGTCAATGTCCGGTCTACTATTACAAATTTGTGTGCTTTTACTCAGTTTGCAGCTGACCAACTTGAAGCAAACTTCAAGGTGATGTGGTTTACACTGATTATTCTAAAGCTTTTGACAAACTTAAGCATATTATTCTGTTAGCAAAATTGTTTAACTTTGGTTTCTCTGATTCCCTCATTAAATTAATTGCTTCTTATTTGTGAAGTAGATTACAGCGTGTCAAATATAAAGGCCATGAGTCGAAAGTAAGTCTTGTACCCTCTGGGGTGCCTCAAGGCTCAGTATTCGGACTTCTGTTGTTTGTTATATACATTAATGGTATCGTTAAGAACATGACAACAGTAAAAAAATAGTCATTAGTGATGACTTAAAAATTTACAGACGAATCAGTTGATTGATATTTTTCTGCGCTATAGTTCTTCCCATCTGCTTCTAGTAAATTACAGTAAATGCAAGATCATGTCCATGACTAATAAAAGCATGCAAATAATGTTTCATTATAGCTTAAGTAACTCACTTATAACCAGAGTACAGATTCTAGGTTGACAATTGCAAATGATATTAGCGACATCTGTTTCAAGGCCCTAAAGTCACTTGGCTAATTCTTAGATGCAGCAGGAATTTTATGACCTTGGTTGTATGCGAGTTTTAAATTTTGCTTATGTTCCATTTAGTGGAAAAAGTTCAGCGACGTTTTCTAAAATACTTGGCATATAGAGAGGATGGCGTTTGCGCAGCCAGAAGATCACCACATTTTGCACTTCTTACAAGATTTGAGTTGAAAGATCTGAATAGAAGACGAATAAAAGTGCTGTTGATTTTTCTTAAAAAGTTAATAAATTTTGATATTGACTGTTCTGTTCTTCTTAGTAAATTGTTGTTCTTCGTTCCTAGATCGTCAGCTCGTTCTCACCCCTGTTTTTATATGCGAGCACCTCGTTTTAGTATAGAAAAACACTCCCCTATTTATGAGATGTGTAATCAATATAACTTGCTGCAGAATTCTTTTGATATATTTAGATAAAAATAATACTCTTATTTTTTTTATTTCTCCTCTTTCTTGCTCTCTCATTCCTCTTTCTGCACGTCCCTTTATTTTTTTTCTGCATTCAATAGATAATTTTAATATTATACCTGCGTTTGAATGGTTTAACTATTCTTATTTGGGTAAAGCAGTAATTAATTAGCTGCTGATTTATGTTTGCAATAATAATAATTAAAAAAAATCGTTGATGATGTCACTGTATCAAAAGGGCTGGTTACAAAAAATTAAATTTTGCATCAAAAAGTGTCACTCTGTAGTTAGCAATTCAATTTTGAAACATTTTTTGTAATCCAGGCTCAAGTGAAATCGGTATTATGGGTTGCCTATTTTAAAAACACAAATGGGTCATCTTAGCTGAATAACTCTGTATAATACAGGGTTGCTAAAAAGTATGGAAAAAATTGAATATCTTGGGAACGGTCGGTTGGATTTTCTTGAAATTAAGGCTATACTTAAAAATATCCAAGCTTTATTTTCTGTAATGTTTTTAAAGTTTAAACTTAATTTATTTTCAAGATGCAAGGCTAATTTGATTTTTTTTAAGTATGACCGTGAGTCAAATCATCGTTTTTTGAATAGAAGAATTATTTCAGATTTCAGAACTGCAACACATGCATACACTTTTTTAATTAAAACAGCAAATAAAATGATAAATTATTTATTATGAATAAATTCTAAAATAGAAAATTGTAGTTCGCTTTGTAAATATTGTCATCGATTTGTCAGTTTGTACTGCAAAGCAAACTTCCACATCCAGGTTTATGATTTATTTCCATAAAACACTAAAATGGTACCATTAACAGAAACTGAACGAATAGAAATCTTGGTGATGGTAGGCAATGGCGACAGACGTCGAAGCAATACTGAAGTAGAATTTTTCGAAATAATGGCAGACAGACTAGATCAGGGTGGCAACTTCATAAACCAATTGAATCTAATTTTTGTTTGAATGGGCATATTAATCGCAATAACTATAGTTACTGTTCCAATACAAATCCACACTGGATGGAGGAGGTTCATATACAGTACGTCCAAAAAATTAATGTTTGGCGCGTCATTATTGGTCGCCACATTGTAGGTCTTTTGCTCATTAACGGAGATTTAAACGTATGAGAAATGTCTCCCACTTTTGCAACAAAGTATTACTCCTAGACTTAGATAAATATTTCCCAACTATGGACACCCAAATTTCCCTACAGAATCCATCTGGTTCCTGGAAGGGGGATAGAACGAAGGGGAGCAGTTGAGTGGCCATCTAGATCACCAGATTTAACCTCACTTGACTTTTTTCTGTTGGGTTATGTAAAAAATCGAGTTTATGTTAATAGACCACAAAGCATCGAAGAACTCCAAGTAAGAATATTAAATGTGATTGGTTATATTCCTCCGAATATTATAACAGATTGATTTGAAAACTTTCTGCAACGTATTTACTATTGCCAGGAAGTAAATGGAGAACATTATGAACATTTGTTGTAAAATTATTGCTTTTTAAATGTTAATTTGATCTTCTTTCAATAACGTAATTTTTTATTTAAATGTTTCAAAAAGTTTTCATAACAGTGTATTCACGATTTACAATCATTAAATCGGTGTATTGTTGTTTCTAGAATATTTTGGAAATTATTTGTTCCTTAGTTCTATAATTTTTACAATGATTGCGCACTAGGTATAATTTTTGAATAAACTGTCCTACGCCAGGATTACGACTTTCTGATTTTTAGTATTTTTATTTTGACAATTTATTTTACCATGTTGGGAAAAATAAAATAATGCATGTGTTACATTTCTGAATTCAGAAAAAAAATTAAAAAACGGAATATTTGACTACTAGTGCTTTTAAAAAAATCAAGCTAATTTTGCATCTCAAAAACCAATTACGTAAAACTGCTTCCATACTTTTTACCGACCTGTATACATATATAGTTTAAGAAATCATGAAATTTTAAAATATAAATAAATCGCCACCGTTCCATTAACTGTAAAGTAGCAATTAGAATCACTACGTGTCTTAAAACATAGGTTTATCCTGTCAAAATTTACTGTATGTCTCAAAGACTACATTTCTGGTCTAAAAGATTATTGACGCCATGTTGAAAACTTATTCTATAAGAAAATATTTATTTCTAAAGCTCTGCCCATTTAGTTACGTTATGATTATCGCTACACTATACACGAGAAAATGTTAAAACGTTTATTCCCAGCAAAACGTTGACGACGTCTTCGCAAAAAACACGAATCAATTATTATTATAATTGTAATTTTCGACGGTAAAGGAACAACCCACACCTTGGCGCTCGAAAAATAAATAGCTTACACAGCAGGCAGCTGCGTGCATATTATATTTATGGTATACACAGTAATAATTTGAATAAAAAGCCTCCAAGTTCGTTCGGATTACGGAATTAGGTGAAAAGCCGGCATCCATCCAGCAAGCTCAAATTTTCATTTTTTGCGCTAACGTGGGAGTTGCGTGCTTCCTTTTACTAGCCAGCTGGAATAGGTAGGTACTAAAAAAGCGAAAGACGCTTTATAAGAAAAGGCGAAGTATGCGTGTAAGATGATTTTCAGTAAAATGTGGATTATAGATACCCAGAGGTTTAGATTATGGAAATCAGTTTACACAACTACAGCGCTCGGATTATGGGGGTGTTTTGAGTAGAGGTCTGGATTATTGATACATTAATTTGGAATTTAAATAAGTAAAAAATTTTATAACCAATATGCAAACATTCTCGTGTATTTAAATTGCATTACTCGAGTTGTTTTTGGTCAAATTAAAATTAGAACAAATTTGGTGGGAAATAGTTATTTGTTTAACAAGGCTGGAAAATGCTGTTTTGGAAATGCTAGGAAATTGGTGAAAGCCGAGCCGGGAGGACGAGGCTTGCAATTTATGATGTATATCTTTCATAATTTTTGAAAAAAGAATGATATCTTTACTTATGTATCTATCTGTAAATTAATTCTACAAATTAGTTTCTATATTAGTACTTAAAAAATCATACCCAGTATTAAATAACTATTTGCTTTTAGTTTATAATCGTCCATTGTGAATTTGTTAATTTCTAACGTTTAAAACTCTATTTTTTTGGTACTATTTTATTTTATACCATTTTTAAATTTATTTAAAAGTATAATAAAAACAAAAATAATACTGAGTGCAGTAAATTATTGTTATCATGCAGTGATAATGAAAAAAAAACAACAAAAATTTAAATCACATTTGTTAATTTTAATGAGTTAAAAGTTAAAATCATTAAATACGACTCCTGAATACTTACGGTACATATAAAAGGATTCTCAAGTCAAGATTTTATATTTTATGAGTGGAGTTTTATTTATTATTGTTTTTCGTTTATTAAATTTAAATCATCTAGCTTTACTTTTCCATTTCATGGCTCTTAGTATCCTTAAAATTAGATGTTATCTTTTTACAAATTACTTAATTCAAATTAATTGCCGATTAAAACGATCGTAAATTTCGAATGTCCCCGTGAGCTTTTTGTTTATTAGTTATGGCCAGGTAATAAATTCAAATTATGCCGCTAATTAGACATAATTTGATTTGTGGTGTGGTTATAAATTTATAAAACAAATTTCGTATTGATTGCTTTAAAAGCAAAAAATACGGCTTCCATTATCTCAGGTAATTAACAGCGACTGTAAAAACATTTTTAACAGAGCTTTTGTGTCGAAGATTTGATTTTATGACGCAAATCAAATTGTAAAGAAAAGAAATCCAATATTTTATAGCAGTCAGTTGAACGTTAAATTTGTTTATGTAATTTGATACACATATGTACGCAAAAATCTTTGATTTACTTAAAACAAAAAAAATACAAATTATACTAAATTTTTACAAGTTCCTGTTAATTTTTCAAACTGACATGGTTTGTTAAAATAGAAAGTGAAAGGCATGAAGGCAACCTATTTACTTACGTCATTTGGTATTCCATCCGGAAAACGAGGATCAGAATCACCCCTAGAAAGTCTAACAGGTTCAAGAGTTTTAGATACGTAGTACGGTACGCTGACTCCGCTTTTTATTTTTTGCAACTTCGGCTCTCCATTTTCATTTTTACATTCTATTCCTAAAAAGAGGGCTAAATTCTCCGGATTATCTTTATCTGCGAGGTACAATCTGAAACAAAATATTATACGCTTAATATAATACTGTGTGCCACCCAGAGTTACAGTAATAAAATTATAGTTACTAATGTTTTATAACTTTTGTTTGGTAATTTTATTTTGTGGACGTCATATCAAGTTATTGGAATGTTTTTGGGTTAAGATTAATGGTGATGAATTGATGTTTTTCTTTTACGTCAAATTCTGTTAGTTTTAACATAAAAGCACTAATTATTTGATATGACATGAACATGACACTGACAGAGCAGAAATATCAACTTTAATTCCATATTTACTTTCCAGAAAGGCATAGTAGGTGGTTCATCTTGACTAATTTGATTCTTTCTCAATATTTCAAAGCTTGTAGAATACGAAAATATTGGTCGCTCGTTTCCGTCCGCCTGTCATTTGCATGCTTAGTTGATTTTATAAAACATATACATATAATCTAATACAAACTACTACACTGGTTGCCGTAAAATTTTAGATGTGGTTTAAAGATTATCCTCTAGATATTTTGTTTGTTCATCCCCACCAAAATTTGACAATGCAGTCTCATAATTTCGTTAAAAAATATCCTTAAAATTTTAGCAACGTAAAAACTGATTGCCTTGAAGTCATCGCAAAATTTTGTAAAAACAATCATATAATGCCTCATATTTGAGATGGACTAAATTAAATGAATTTTAAATGAGACACCCTGCATATATTTATTCAATTCGTTCACAAATCTAATTTCTGGGGAAACGAGGATAAGGACATCCACACGACACGTATACGAGTTTCGAGTTCAAATTTAGAAGAAAGTGAAACATGTTGTTTAGAGTAACATTTCGTGAAAATAAAAACAAATTTTTGAATAAATATCTACTTATCTGAGATGCCGTTATCAACTTATTGGAAAGTGTAATAACTGAATCTATAAAATGTAAAAAAACATTGATTACGAAAAATGGTCTTAAGTAAGTTATGTAAACCGAACTTGTCTCGTCCTTGAGGTACAATCAGTTAAATCACGCATTATTAAACTACAAGTAAGGCGGTTTGTTAGATATGCGAAGTTTCAAGTGAGATTTTCATAACGAAATTTTGTGACGACTTGAGTAATTTTTAATAGGAAGAAATATCCGAGTTAGGATAATTTAATCAATAAAATTAATTGCAAATATAAAAATAGACATGTATGAAGAAAGTGCATGCAAAGAAAGAAGCAAATTCCACCTGAAATTAAAATTACCAAAAGTTTAACATGACATCTTCAAATATTTTGGAAAGTTGGTTTAGTTTCTAAGTCAATTTGTAAAATTTTGATTTTTACATTTTGCACACAATAAAATTTCACAAAATCAATCCACTAGTTTTGGAGATTATCTGTCTAACAAAATCACTAACAGACGTCAGATAGACGATAATGGAAGACCTCCTATTTATATTCTAGGAACCATGACATTATATATAACCAAATAAATAAATTAAAACTGGAACAGTTAGTTAGTATTAATGCGCACCGAGTAACTAAAAAATTCTTTGAAAAATTATAAAAAAATTGTATTTTATGATAACCTTTATATAGTAAAAACTAGTGGTGTAAATGACACCTGGAATACTCTGCGCTGCGGGGGTGCAAATTCCAAGGAGGTACACACATATGGACAATATGAAATATATTCAAAGCAAATAATCAACGGAAATGCTTAACTTCGATTGTTTATGTTTATGCATCGAAAGAATGTTCCGCAGAAATTTGTTTAATTTGAATGAGTTGTCTTCTCAAAGCAGAAGACTAAAATTGTTAATTAAGCCACAATGGCACAAAATGTTTTAAATAAGATTATTATTATTATTATTTTTATTTGATCATAATTAAATAAAGACGTGGGTATTCTTACTTTTTGTAGAAAATGAAGTTCTTAATTTGATCAATAAAAAACTGGCCGACAAATCCAGCTCTTTAAAAAAATTTGATTTTACGATTTTCGTTTTGTGACACCCGCTCTAAAATAAAAACAAGCGGCATAAATAACACCCTCGCAGCCGCTGCGTCGTACGGACAATGTAAAATATATTTAAAGCAAAGCACATAATTAACGGGATAAAATGTCCTTCAGGACTAGGTAATATCAGACTGAAGCTCAAGTGTTTATTTATGTTTATACATCGTAAGAATGTCATGTAGAAATTAGTTTGATTTGGATGAGTTTGTCTTCTGAAAGCGTATTACCAATGCAAAAAAAATGAGTAAACGGCCATAGTTCGGTACTAACATCACAAATCCTGTAGCTTCAAAAGTACAAGAAAACTACGTTAGTTATTCGAGCATTGATGTAAAATATTTATATTATATAACTTATATTTAGTTTTCTATAATACCGACAATTCAACATCAAAATTTCAACGTTAGAATTTTTCTATTGAATGTTTAACTTGATTTAACAGAGTTAAGCACCTCAATATTTAATTGGTTACATGATATAATTCGTTAAGATTAATATTTATTTTACAAAAAACATCATGTTGAACTAAGCTGTTCGGGCCGTAGGCAAGAGAAGGAGGAGCATTTAAGACTCCCACGAATTTTTTTTCAAAATATTTCCTAAATACCATACTATTTTTTTTAACACGAGCTTTGTTTTACTTAACTGCTGATATTTTCATTTAAAAAAAATGAATTTTTTGTTAAAAATTTTGTCCTAGTTTTTTTGAACACTATGCAGCAAAATGAAATTTTAAAAATGTGAATATTCAAAACAAAATCGACATACAACAAAATTGTAATAAATAAAAATCGCATTTTAACGACACAACTCAAGAATCGGTATATGAATTTGGAAATCTCTTTTCATTCCGCATCCGTTAGTGTTAAAATCCGAATTTTATTTTTCAAATTTCGTCTAAGTCGACTTTTTTTGAATTTTCATTTTTCTGCTGTTTATCGAATCATATTACAATCGCTTCCAAGTTTTGTCTTAGATTTTTAACGGTAATAACACTACTGATTCTAGCATTGGACGAGGTTTTTTTATTACTGAAAATTTTGAGATGAATCTGCGACAAAGTAATAGTTACACTAAAATTACTTTTGAATAATGAAGATACTCAATAATAAGTTTTTCTTGCAATTAATTGTATTTGAAAGCAAGTCGTGCTTCGAACAATAAGTAAATGCAACATATTGTTACGAAAGAAACCCATACGCCGCCCCGGTACGACGCTTATGGGGTCTAGTATGTACGGCGATGATGACTCATCGGTCGGGCGGCATCCGCTAACGAAGAGCCTGGAAGCGGGAATCGCGATGGGCAACCCAAAGAAACCTCGAAGCGGCGTTCTCGATCCATCGAGAGGTACGTATAGGTTTAATGTGCCGTAGATTTTAATGTGCCGCATCCGAGATCTCTCTCGAGTTCAAAAACAAAGATCATTGTCAACTAAGTACTTCTTCATTACAAACATTATTTTAGACCGTGATCTACATCTGCCACTGAACAACTTTAAAATTTTCAACAATAAAAAAAACTTTTTTGTGTAGGCAACAAAGAAAGATTTTTTTCGGTAGAAATTTAAAAACACTGGTACAGTAAAAGTCAGATTGTTAGAATCAGTAGCGATTAGTTATATTGTAATTAAAAAACTAAGACATTTTGGATACTTAGTTCGATTTACTACGAAATTTTAAAACATAAAAGTCAAATTTTCACACGAATAGAAGCGGAATGACAAAAATTTTATGATAATTTGTGTAAGATCATGTCTCAAGTTCTTCAGTAACTGACAACACCGCCGCGAATTCTCCCATATAAAATGCATTGCTTACGGGTCTTGTACGCTGGAAAGTTAAAGCGGACCCAACAATAGAAGTATCACCTGTTCCTTTCATTGTTAGTAACCTCCTTTGAAATCTGTTTCTAGGTACGGCACTAGCATAATTGGCAAGCAAATTTTATAATAAATTCATGAATTACAAGTTGTACACTGCCGCTTTCCTTGTAATACAACTGAAACTTTGTTATAATCGTGCATTTCCCCACACATACCTGCACTGAACACTTTTCAGAACAGTGGCAGCTTTAGTAGATTTTAGTTTAATTACAAAATCACTACAAACTAATTTATATTAAGTTTCTCTAATAGTTATGTCAAATGGCATTATTAATTAACTGGTACGCTAAAATTATAATACTTTAAAGTGAAATGTAATGCATTAACTCTTATTGCGAACTCAACTAAATTATTAAGTTAGCGATACTATTGAAATTAGTTCAAAAATTAATTATTTAGTAAGCTTCAAACCTATATCAAGTTTATAATTTTGTTTTTTTGAGTGAACAAAAAAGTAGCGGTGTTGTTCAAACACATTAATCCTAATCGCATATCAGGAATCACTTCTCCTAAATCTTAACATCTATTTATATTACAAGTTCAAGATTTCAGAAGATGAGACTGATTATTGATCCTTGAAACTTTGTTAATAAATCTCAGAAAAGTTTTTGGTGCGTTACTTGAAATTCACTGTAAAACAACACCTACATAACTTTGTAAATAACTGTTGAAAGATACGTTCAGTACCAAAATAATGTATTTGTAGGACTGTTATACGTGTTTTGGCACATACTACCTTCATCAGGCACATGAACTTACATATAGCAGCATCCTTCAAATAAATTAATTCGCAACCGAATGTATTTTTCAATTCTTATTTATAACGCTGTGATTAGTTGCAACAAGTGCATGCCTTATTAATTCAAATACTTACTTAGTGAACTTCATTGTAAAATATAGTGTTTAAATAATAATGAAATCATGAAAAAGTGTGTTAAGTACATTTGTTTCAAATGTGTCTTCATGTTCAACTGGCGTATAATAAAGAGAATAGAACGCGACATGTTAATGGAAGCTGTTTCATTCAAGTATCAAAATAACCAATTGTTGACACGTGTGTAGTGAAGTGTTAAAGTGCTTTAACCTTCTAGGTGTTTGTCAGTCCAGCTTTGCTTTCAGCGTCAAATCCAAACAAAAATTTATAGCTACATTGCGTTAAGGTAGCTTGTGCTACCCCAGTAAACTTTATCCCTGAAAACAGAAACTATTTACCTAAAACCGTCGGCACTAACAGCCGAGCAAATGCAGTTGGCCAATTCCCACAACACGTGATCTTTGGTGGGTTTCAGTTGTAAACTGTGAGTGAGATCCTGGAGCATCTGACGTTTGTCTGCATGTACACAGAACTTCCATCTCGAAAGGCTGGTTTTCCGACCATTTCTAGACGCCGTTTCCGGCTTCTTTTTTAAACGTTGAGATTTACGTATGATCCACCTTTCCAATTGCTCCACCTCCACTTCGTCCATGATGTAGCGCTCCAGGAAATCCGGGTGGTTGATGAGGTAATCAGAAATTTGATCACCTGGAAACAAAATCTCTTCTTACTGGTTATATTCCAAAGGATTGGAAAAGATCGACGCACTGTCGACGGCATTTTATGAGAAAATTGACAGTAATCTAGTTTTTATAACGTTGTAGTTAACTGTACACCAAGGACTGAAAGTGCTTTCTTTATACAGTGGCGTGTTAATAACTGTTCTATCAAGAATAGTCAATTTGGCAGAATATTAGACTCTTCAATTTGTTTTATCGTTTTCAAATATTAAGTTTACACAATTATTGGCACTTAAAATTAATTTTGTTTAAAACTTTTCTATGATTTACTTAGCTTAAAATGTTTGTACATATAGTTATATATTTTTAATAAAACTGCGACACACACAAGTTCCGACAGTGTGATAACTTTCATGTTTGGCGGTATGCAAGACCTGCTTCAATTTTAATACTGCGTTTTTCCTTTAGAAAACAACGTAGGTATATACAACGAGATAATTTATGGTAAGTATAAATAATAATGGAATAAACATGATGATCGTACTTTGTGCACTTACACGAAATAAGAAAATACCGAACACATCGCTACACCAAATTATACTAATTTATTTAAGCCCAAAATTTGTGTTGTGATTTCGAAAGGAATGAATCACTTGAAGCTGTAAAATAAACATTTGATTTTGTAATCATTCAGAATGCCATACGGTATGGAGGTATTTTGCGTTAAATTGAACTATTCAACTCCGGATGATAAATATATTCAGCGGCCGACCTCTTTATACACTTTATTTATTGCTTGTATTTTAAGTCTAATAAAATGTGCTTTTTTATTACTGAATGTCGTTAATGTCACAATAAATACTTAAAGTGATTATTAAAAAAATTTTAGCTTATTTTACGTGGGACGACCGAAGCTCTGTTCAACTCGTGAAATGTATTACTAGATAAACAGGCAAATTTAATTTATATCTTGTTAAAGAAAATTTATGTACTTTACTTAAAAAAGTCATTACAAAATTTATCATGTAACATCGTATAACGAAGAGAACTAATAAAAACCGGTGAGAAAAAACATCTTAGAACACATGAGTTTGCGGAACAGGTTCAAGAATAATTCAAGGGTATCTTAAAAGATAAATTGCTCTTGGGTAGTGGCGGTAGTTATTAAATTCATGATATGCTGCTATGAACCAAAAACGAACGGAGAATAACAAAACTAAAGCACATTAAAAGGAGTTAATTAATTCTTATCAAATCTTTCATTATTTATTGTTTTTTCTCAACAAAGAACTTTTACTATCTACGAGAGTAAATTTATAGACACTGATGCTGTTTAAATATCGCTTAAATCTTTCAGGCTAGGGAGAGTATGGATCCTAGTTTTTTTTGCCTATAGAATCCAAGGAGTCTGTTTCCGTTGGTGTGTAGGTCTTTCATTTGATGGTGATTTTATTAAAGAGACAGTTTTTGAAACTACGGAAGCGGTGAAATAAAAAATTAAATACATTTTAGGATTAAAGAGTGAAGAATGTAAAATTCTAACCAAAATTTATGTATTCATTGTTCCGATCAAAATAATGAAGTTATTTGAGTAAATATGCTGTTATCTTCGTTTTAACAATTTATTAATATTTTTAAGTTGATGCATACAAGTTTTGAGAAGCAGAAGCATTAAATTTAGATCATAAAATGTTACAGCGAAAGATTACTCAACAGACGTTGCCAAATTGTCTTTATTTATTTATTACAGCACTCCATACATGTATACGTATGCTGTGTAAAACATAAAGATTATATAGCCAGTATTTTTCAGAATTAAATACATACGCATTGTATTAAAAAAAATAAATTTTGAACCAATTTATTTTGATTATTTCAAGAACACATTATTTACGTTTCCTAAAATTTTGACTTACGAATACGATTAAACTTATATTGTAGCCATCAAAATTAACATCTACAGATATATTCCAATAGCGCATTGAAAAATTGACAGCATTATTTCACCAAAATATTAAATGAACATTATTATGGATCCCTAGAATACGTAACACTGATTGATTTTGTTTTGAAAACATTCTCTTGTATTTTAGAAATGTTTATTCAGAACACCAGAACATTTGTTTAGAAAATCTAAACCAATACAAATATGTCATCTGTCATCAACATGAGAAGCGCAGTCAAAAGCTTAATGTGTAAGATCGAGGAAGGGTGCAACGTTTACTTTAAATTTTCCATGTTGTCACCAATCAGCTCAATCAGATTTAGTATTGCATCACAAGTGGACATTTTTTTTTCAAAATGTGTACTTAGTTGTTCATGTAATATTTTTTCTAGAAGTTTTTGTACGTATCATAGAGATGGGTCGATAATTGTCTGAATCGTTCTTATCCCAATTTTTAAGTACCCACAGAAATACGAGATTTTATACATAAATTTACTAAATTTCTCAAAGGTGATATTACAATATCTTTTACGTATTTAAGTATAGGAACACTTTACTTTAATGATGTCGACATCCAAGAAATAATCAAAAGTTTCGAAAGGGGTCTGTACAGGCTGATTGGTATTAAATTAAGATTCGGAGAATACACTTACAAAAGTTTAGTTGGTATTCATCTAAATTACGACAATAATTAAAATTAAGAATTTTTTTATTCACACAAATCATAATTAGTGATTTTCATTTCTTGCTGCACCAAATCTCTTATAGACGTTGAAGGGGCCTCTTCCATAACCAGTCGCAATGTTTTCTGGACCTCTTTTGAATTTCGGTCTGTCACTTGTTCTTATTTTTTCTAAACTTCTTATTTTTCGAAATTGAAATACACAACGTTTCAGGATATTGGAGAAATGTGCATAGTCCACATGATTATTGGGTAATAGTTCACAGAATTCATCTCAAGTCACCTAAACAGAAAACTGTCAAACACCTTCTATTTCCTGACCATTGCAAAAGTGTTTTTTAATTTCTGACAAAAATGCTACTTTTCAAGAGTAGCATAATGAAAGTTTTTAAAAGAACTGATTTATTTTTGACAATTTGAGCGCAAATTATAAAGGGAAATCAAAACAAAACTGAAAATAAATGTGAGAATTTGAATTTAGGTTGAATTCACGTTAAATTACGCCGGTGGCAATAATACACTTCTTTTTTAATAAGTGTCATTCATAAAGTTGAATTTATACCAAAAATGGATCATCAAGGTAAGACCGGGGGTCACAAGGGCACCTGCCCCCCAAAATTATAACGTCCACAAACACACTGGACATAGCAAAATAGTAATTTTCAATATTTAAAAAATTACCCGAAAATTTGTGTCATAATTATCAAAACTAATTTTTTTATCTCGCTCCACTTGTATAAAATGTATCAAAACTTACATCCACTTACATCTAAAGATGTGTCTTGGATATATGATATGTTATTTCTGATGCAATGCTGATAAAAGCCGGGAACAGAGACCGAACCATGGCTGATTGAGACGTTTTGTTTACACCGCTGCCATGTAAACCTCACGTCCTAGCCGCCTGATTCACCTGGACTGCGGTTCCGTTCTGACAGTGCTTGGCAGGATTGAGTTACTATCGGTTACTATATTCTTGGATAAATTTCTCGGTAATACAGACATTCGGAAACAACTACACACCGCTTATATTAATAATATTCGGGCACGTAACGCAAGGGTCGACAAAAATCGCCATATATTACGCCGATTGATAATGAGCATAAAATTTTGTGGAGTGTTTGAATTTGCTTTACGTGGACATGACGAAAGTAGGGAATCACAAAATCCAGGTATATTTCGACGTCTGATTGATTTTATGGCTAAATTGGACTCTGCTTTATCAGATCATTTGAAAGAAGCAACGGTTTTTAAAGGAAAGCCTAAAACTTTCCAAAATGTACTTTTAGATGCCATGAACATTTTTGTATTTATTTCCGTCACACAATTTCGTCTATTAATTGGTAATATCAACCTATTTTATATCTTCACATTTAACTCATCAATCAAATTGTGTCCCCCCATTTCAAAAGATCACGAGCAGCCACTGGTAAATATAATAAATTAGGAAAAATATTAGAAGTTGATGAATCATGTATTTAAATTTATATCCATAAACGTCCGATTCATTAAAAGTGGAGTTGTTTTAAGCATCACAATTATCCACAACATTTAAGGTAAGGACATACGTCTACGCTATCATAGATGACTCGATTACAATCCATGATCGTTTTGGCTCAACGTTTCGCGCACTTTCGTAAGTGGCATCTTCAGGAGCAGGGTTAAGAATAACGCAAAAGGGCAAGATAACTCAGTAATTCAAGCTGCTCCTGAAGAGCCTAAAAACTTAATCAACACGGTTCCAACCCGGAAAACGATCATGTATTGATTCCGACCGTAGAAGCCTCCGAAATTATTTCAATTACAATCGCACAACATAAAACATAACAATACACATACAGGCATTATTATATAGTACATTTTTTCTTAAATGTCTTCTTTCTAATGCCAACGTAACAGTAATTTCCATCACATTGAAAATAATAAATCTGTAGGATGGATTCACAGAATAATATAATGTATGTTCACAAATAATTTTTCATTTGGCATTAAAATGTGGCGAGTGAATTTTTTTTTTTGTAATTTCCGCAGGTCTAGCAAAACAGTAGTAAATAACCCTAATAGCGTCCTAACATTTTTTTTACATCAGAATAACGTAATAGACACTACACATCCTAGTTCGAAAAGTTCTAAATCATTCCTTGTGATAATTGATATTATTAGTTAATTGACTGAAATTTCGGACCACGCAGAGAATACTTCAGGATATGCAAGAAAGGTTATTTTACTACAGTCTACAATTTTATCACTGTAAAAAAACGCAAGCGTGTTTTAAGACCAATAACAAAGCACTATCATATCTTTTAATGGTTAGCAGGCTTAATCACATGCAAAATTTCTTTATTTTCAATTTGTACATTTTTAACGAAAATTTAGTCCTGTCGTGAACCGACGAGAAAAACGGTCGCTAATTAAATAATGATTCTGCAAGACAAAAAGTTTTACTTCATAATATGTTGGACTTATTTACACATAACATAAGAACCAAATTTGAATCAAAAAATATATTAGAAGAAGGAGGAAGTTTGACTGTAATTCCGTCCGACAGTTTAAAGGATGAATTTTATCCTTTTCCATAAACACGATAGCGTCTGTTTGATGTTGATGTCACTGGGCATAAAGTTGTCCAAACGACTAAAGTTAAAAATTTGTATTCTTTTTATCAGGTTTAAACGTTTTTTTACACATACATTGAACTGTCGGTTTATCAATTTTAAATTACATGATGGTTGTGTAATAACTGGAAACTTGGTTTGAGGAATTTTTAGAACTTTTAAACGTTAAGTGAAATCATCAAAGTAAATTAGGTGCGATTAATAACATATATAGCTTTATCTGTTTCCAATAAATGTGTAGCTGTAGAAAAATTCAAGCTTATTTAAAGCTAGTAGCATTTTTCTATGAATTACTCGTATATCCATCGCTAGTTATTTTTCTCTTTTATTTAATACAAAAATGTTTATCTTGATAATTATAAAAATATTTTACCTCATTGCTGACAATATCTCAAGTGATTGCGATAAAACCCATTACACGAGCGCGTTACGTCGATATCTTTGTTGGATGTGGCAGTTTATTCATGTAACATATTACATTAATTTACATTGTTGACGGAAATTTCGCACATCACATTATCAGTCTGCCGGTGTCTATTGTTTATTAAAAACTACGTCGCGAGATAAAAATAAACTGTTAATTAAGCCGAAATATCTCGGGCGCAACAAGTCATTCGTTACCTGCGATTAACATAAAGCCATTCAAAACATAAATCTTATAGAATCTTACAAAACTCAAAGCATTCTTACATAAATAAGTCCTGCATACCAAATCGAAACCTGGTTCACGATATATCTTACCTCTACCGCACAATGGTATCTCTCAGACTCATAAAACAACTTCTGAATTAACTCAAAACTGAATAAACCTAAGTAAGATAAATGAGATTTTCCGTCAAAAGCTATCTTACAAAGCTGCTTTCGCAAGTAAAACATATTATTGTTAAATATGTCGATGTCTCACCTGTAATTTGAGCTGGCGGCATGGTTTGAAGAGATGTCGGTGAGTTCGCGACGTCATTCTTCAGTATTGGGGATCCTGCAATAAAAACGGCATTTTTAAGATACCGATGGAGCAATGAGAGGGCGACCACTGGAATTCAATTAAACACCTGTTGAAAATAATTGAGTCTTTACCCTTTTAATAAACTGTGTTTACCTTTAACCGTTATAACGATTACGGTTATTGAAGTTATAGGGGTCCCTCCTATCCTATTTACATGTTCATTGCAATATCTCCTATATTTGCATTTATGCTGCTCAAAAATTATTAACCATGATCGATAGTCATACTCACAGGTATAGGTACTGCATGAATAATAATACGCACAACACTCTCTGACATCTGTTGTTAAATTTATTTTCAAACTTCGTTCTTTGTTCCAATTACGATTATGAAGTCGAAGTTAAAGCCGCTTCTATCTAGATTACACAAGGTAGAGGAACCGATTATTTAGAAATTAATTAATTTATATATTTAGATGTTAACTTTATTGTTTATTGGTAGCATAACTGTGCTAATTGTTGTAAAATACCTATAATATTGTTATCGTTCGACTATTGTCAGTGTCGGTCAGAATATACGAGTAACGTGCAGCTTTTAGAAAAAAATGTTATAATTATATTATATATTCTTATACTTACGCATATTTAGATACTTAATTAGTAGAGTATGACTTAATAGCACAATAATTATAGCCCCCTAACAAAAAAGTTTATTTACTTATCCATTTAGAATATTTTATTACTAAAATTATCATGAGCAAATATAGTCAGCTTACGTTCGGAAAATACTGTCATAGTGCCTTTCTGATTAATGTCTAGTTTAATGTTTTTTCGACATTTTATAGTTACGAAACACCGTGGTATCTGTAGGTCTCTCATCTTCGTCTGTCTGTAATATGTTGGCCTTATTATTAGACAAGTAATCTCTGAAACTACTGAACAAATTTTAAAATTTTACATTTATTTTAAAAATATCAACTAGATGGTAAAATGCACATCAAAATTTATCTATTCTCCCACACCCGTCACTTCAAAATTTTGGCACGTAAATCATATTTATTTAAAATGTGCAAAATTACAACACCGAATTCGGTGAAAATTTGCAGACGCTTTATCGTTATTGTAAACATGGTAAATCGCTAATCAGGATTTATCTGTTCATCTCTACCAGAACATGATGACGTCAAAATTTTATGAAGTAAATCTGTTCTATTGTTTCGAATTGCTTATATATAGACTGTCTTAAAAATATATGAAGCAATATATTTTATTAATTAGGTACGTCAAAAACAGCTACCTCATTTTCTTGAAGTTTTGGGGACATAATAGGTACTGTTGGTATTAGTATACACTGTATCTATACAAATTAAAATTTTTATTTGTTTCTAGCGAAAAATCATCACAAAATTTTATTAACCAAAACTCTTACTACTTATTTATTTATTACTTCCCGAGCGCAAGTGAAGGAAGTATTGTAATCGACTACCTACGTCCTTTCGTGACTCCTAGAGTACGAAGAAATAAGTTTCCCATTTCAGCCTGTGTGTGTCTGTCTGTCTGTGCGTCTGTTTGTCCGTCTGTCCATCTATCCGTCTCTCTGTCGTCTCGGATTTTTATTAAACAGATAATCTCCGAAAGTACTGGGTCGATTGTAGTTAAATTTTGTATTCATATTAGGAATATCATGTAGATGGTAAAACGCTAACCAAAATTTGTCTAATCATCCCACCAATAATGTGATGACGTCACTTCATAATTGTACATAGTAAATGGGTATATAAATTGTATAAAATAACATAGTCCTACGCGTTTAGTTTATGAATCCGTGTTGAGTTTTTACCCGAAACGTCCAGATTTCAAAAAAATCAACATTATATAATAACATTTTGCAATTTAATTTTGCATCTGCAAAACCGAATACTTTGAAATCTTTCAGATGGTTTAAAATTATCATAAGCATGGCAAATTTTTAATCAAAATATAGCTGCTGATCCTTCCCGAAAAAAATCAATAAAGTCACCGGAAAACTTTGCTGAATAAATTTTATCTAAATTGTGCAAAATATGACGAGTTTGCGCTTGTAATTTATCATTCCATTCATATTTTTTGGATTTGCTTATACAGGGTAACACAAAAAAAATTATCAATAAGTCAATTTGGTTTATTCATAATCGGGAACTGCAAAACCGAATGCTCTGAAATCTTGCAGATGTTTTAAAGTTATTGAATGCGTGTATTTATTTTGTTCATTTAATCAGTAACTACATAACCGAATGCTTTCAAATCTTGGAGATGTTTTCAACTAATCATAAGAATAGAAAATTTTTGATCAAAATGTATTTGCTCATTCCCCCCTAAAAATTGATGACGTCACCCAAAACTTTTGCAGAATAAATCCTATCTAAAATGTATAAAATATGAGTCTGTACTTGTGATTTATCCTTTCATTCCTATTTTTTGCGTATACCTGGGGACTCAAAAAAATTATCATTGTAAGTATTTCAAGAGCGAAGGAAGATTATCTGTCTAATAAAAATTGGGACGGCAGACAGACGGACAGACAGACACACAGACACACACAGAGACAGACGAAAACGGCAGAGTTATTTCTTCGTACTCTAGGGGTCATGAAAGGTCGAGAAAACGTAAAAGTAGAAGGTCGGCCGACCGAATTTCGAGTAACTGAATAACTAACTGGCAATGAATTAGAACGGTGATGAATTGTTATCTTTCTGTATATTGTATATCATTAATTTGTTTATTAATTATAAATTTAACTGTCCTTTGTAGAGAAACTATTTCTGTAGCATATGCATCAATAAAATTATGATTATCTTTCTCATTTCTTCATCGAGAATATGTATCTTATGTTGTAAATCTTTTTCACTTTTTCATACCCACGTAATATAATTTTACTTTTTCATTGTTATCGTAATCAAGTCCATCGGACGATTTGTCACTTTAATGCTTTCTCAACGTTTCATGACCCCTACAGTATGAAAAAAAAGGTCTCCAGTTTCCGTCTGTCACCCTGTACATCCAAAATTCAAAATTTTTGGAAAAAAACGAAAATGAATAACAACATTTTCCAATTTAACTTTGTAACTGCAAAACTGAATGCTCTTAAATCTTGCAAGGATTATCGCAGTCATGGTAAATCATTATTCAAAATTTATTTGTTATCCCCTGCCAAATAATAATTAATGACATCATTTGTAAATTTGGCCTAATAAATCCTCTCTGAAATATGCAAAATACATATTATGACTCGTACTTGTAATTTATCAATGCGCCTATAGTTTTTAGAATTACTTATACAGGGTGATTAAAAAAATTATTGAATGAGTTAATGAGCAATTTATTTTATTAATTAAATAAAGAATGACGCACTCCATTTTCCCGAAAATTTTGCAATACAGTACTGTTGTTATTACTATTACACTTCATCTATTCAATTTGATATACATGTCCTTGCAAAAATGTTGATAACGTTATCATAAAATTTTGTAATGGAAAGATTCAGTTGAAACAAAGGCATAGCACGCTCCTTAACCTTTCGTTTAACATTTCATAGTCGTACATACCTTTATTTTAACGTATAAAGAATTATCATAAAAAATAAAATTCGCAAAATCAAATCTTATAATTTTTCGAAAAAACTATAACTCAGGAGCGAGGGAAGTTCTATAGAAATAACTTTCGACCATTTTTTATCGTTTGAACTAAGTGCTATAAGATTAAACAGAAGAGCCCTCTGTGTTTCAACAGTATTCTGTTTGTAAAGCTTTCTGAATTTTCATTTCTCAAAGGTACTTAGTTTGTGGTATATAGGCTTTTAATATAACTAATTCAAAATTTTCCTATTAATAATGTGCAAAATAGATGAGTCTATACTTATGATCTTATGAATTATGGCTTATCATTACAGGTGATTCGAAAAATTTTAAAGACGTTTTAAAGTTATTGTAGACATGGTAAATTTTTAATCAAAATATATTTGTTTATTCCATTCTAAATTTTGCCTAATAAATCCTACTTAAAATGTCTTATGATGAGTTTTTACTTGTTAGTTACTTATACAGGTGGCTAAAAAAATAAATATGTTATATAACTTATTTTATTGATTAAATCAGGAACGGCACATTATTACACTGTTATTATTATTATTATTACACTGCAACTATCCAAGTTAATATTGTTTCCTTGCAAAAATGTTGATGACGTCATCACAAAATTATGTAAAGTAAAAACCCCTTTGAACCTGACACGCTTCTTTACATTTACTTTAACACTGCATACAGGTGTTTATTTCAACTTACAGGCTCAAAAAAATAAAATTCGCAAAATAAAATTTCATAATTTTTCGAAAATAAATTTCATTGGGCTGCAGAGGCGAGGAAAGTTCTGTCGAAATAACCTTCGACCAATTTTTTTTAAATCTAATTTTCCTATGATGTTTTTGTATATTTTTACTACCCCGGCGTAAGCTATAAGGGAAGTATTGTAATGGGGTTCAAACATAAAAACTGCCATTTCCGTCTGTCTGTCTGTTTGCTTCTGCCTGCCATCTGTATTGATTTTTATTAGATCATCTTCGAAACTACTGAACTGATTGTTGTCAAAGTTTAGATGTATGATATAGTCGGTAAGACGTTGATCAAAGTTTGTGTAATTATTCCCTACCAATAATTTAATGCAGGTATCCCAAAAGTTTCTATGTTATTTAGTATATATTTAAATGGTATACAATATTATACTCCAACATGTGTGGTTTTGAATCCGTCGTGGGTTCTTCCTCTCCTCTAATCTTTTATGTTACTAATATAAATGGAGCTGTCACGAATATTCCAAAGCGCATTGCTTAGAATCCCCAGTTTGGATGCGAAGGTCGCTCGTTCGATCCCCTTATACAACTTTTTTGCATTACACTGTGCCTGATATTGTCTAGAAATGATTGATTGTTTGTTTTACTTTATAGAAGTTACCTCAAAAAACAGTATAATTTCGTAGTTTTTTGTTAATGGAACACCCTAT